CACATACACAACACTGTTTTGTGAATGTAGTCTTAGGCTGTGAACTCCCACAGCACATTTACTTTGCTTTATATTCCCAGGGTGTCTGGCAATGAGTGTTATAGGTACTCAAATATTTGTTGGACTAAAATGAACTGAACTGACAGGAATCTCACAGAGCTTATCAATGACTTCTGGTAGTCTTTATGTTTCCCTCTCCCAGTCTCAGTGCTCTTCTCACTGTTTATTAAATTTATACTGTAAAAGAATGAGATCCTAATATGGTTAAGAAGATAGAAAAAAGGGGACACCTGGGTGGCTCAGTTGGTTAAGCACCAGACTCTTGATTTCAGCTGAGGTCATGATCTCAGCAACCCCACATCGGGCTCTGAGCTGGGTGTGGAGCCTGCTTAAAATTCTCTCTCTGCCCCTCCCCACACCCTGCCCCTCTCCCTCTCTAAAAAAAAACTAAAAAAAGAAAAATCAAAAAATATGATTGTCAATATATATGATCTATGGTGTGCCAGGAAATGTTTAACAAGTGGCTCAGGGTGGGGTGGGGTGTCTGATTTTCAGTATTTGCCAATTTCCATGGCTTAAATACTCCCACCATGGCCTATTTCATGGTAACAACATGGTATCAACTAGTTCCCAAATTCCTGAAAATTTAACAACTGGCCCTCACAAACAAGCATAAGCCAGCTCCAACAAATCACTAGATGCAATATTTAGATGCACAGCACGCATGATCTCAAACTCTGCTCTGCATTACTACCTTCTACATCCCCAAAGAAAAGTACAAAAGACAAGGAAAAGGGAAAATCCACGCCCTATTCCCTTAAGGCCTTTACCTCCATCTGTAAAGTAGTCTTCCTTTAAACTGGGCATCTGATCCAGCCCAGAAATTCCTTTTGCCTAGGCTAGTAACATTTGAAATTTTCTGATCATGCACTCCAATCAGTAAAAAATGTTTAAAAATATATCCCCAATATATGTTAATATATTTGTTTATAAGTTACATTGCAGCTACTATATATACCATATATACTAACAGTACAAATTATAAAACATACACAAAAAAACATAAACTTTAAAAGATAAAAATTAATACAAATGGAAAAGAAAAATCTCCCTCTTACATCCCAATGGACTATCTTACACACACCCCTGTGGTTTACAGTCTAGTTTAGAGATTACTAAAGTCATTATCAAAAGCAAAATGAATAGCTTCCTGGTCCTGTTTCCCTTTCCTGGACCTGGATCTTCCTATTCCAATGCTGAAAAAAGGCAAGTACCAACCATGGAAAAGAAAGGAGGTAAACGTTACCAAGGTCTTGAACAAAAATGGCCTACAGAAAAGCAAATCAGAGACCCCTTTTATAATACAAACTCCACAGGATTAAGACTCCCTGGGAATGAATCACTGGAGAGGCTCCAAAGACACCAAACTAACTGGAGTTTTTAACCCCATAAAAAGACATATCCTGGCCATCCATATCAACTCAAGCAAATAGAAGGGCTGGGAGGAAACATGAGTTTCCCCTAAGGACCAAACATGTCCTCCAAATAATTGTAATATTAATAAAATCTTAAGTTGGGAAATACAGAGTACAAAACTATGCCAGATACATATAAATCATATAGAATAGATATAGCTCTTCTTTTCTGTATGCAAGCTGTCCTCTGGCAAAGCACAGTTTAAGCCAAACATGCTAGTCCCAAATCAAAAACATTAACTTTGCTTAAAAAAAAAAAAAAAATCAAGAAATGAAAAACAAAAAACTCCTTATCAGGATCACAGAATACTGAAGACCTTCCTAAGGAAGATTTTACAAACATGTTTAAAAACACTTAATGATACTAAAGGCTTCTGAAGAAATGAGCCAGGTAAAGTGTTACTGCTTTTCCTTTCTTGTTGTCAATTTCCCTGTCATACATATAAAGCACTAAAGATGAATCTGCCTTCAACCCTGTTCCCTGAAAGAAGAAAAAGAAAAAAAAAAAAAACACACAGAAACAGAAAAAAATTTTTCTGAGCTACCATTTCACCAAGACTAGCAATATTTGGGGCACCTGGGTGGCTCAGTCAGTTAAGCATTTGCCTTCGGCTCAGGTTATGATCCCAGGGTCCCGGAATCAAGCCCCAGGTCGGGCTCTCTGCTCAACAAAAAGCCTGCTTCTCCCTCTCCCTCTGTCTTCTGCTCCACCTGCTTGTGCTCTATCAAATAAATTCAAAACATCTTAAAAAATAAAAAAGACTAGCAATATTTAACATGAAGGAATCAACCCCTTTTTAACTATTCTTTTCATCCTTTGATCCCTTATTACATAGTTGCTTCACACTGACTTAAGACTCAAAGCTTTGGCTGAAATGATAACCAACTTAAAAGATCCCCACACCTAAAAATTATCTACCTTCCCATCCACTGAATCTTCCCTGTTTCCTCCCTTCTTTAAGGAAGATGGGGTCTCTCCTCCATGGTAACCAAGTGCCCTAATAAAAATTATTTTTAAAAATGTCTTACTGGCTCTTACTTCAATAAGGCTGCCTAAACACACATGATTATCTCTCTTCTGTCCAAATTCCCATTGAAATAACAAGAGAAGAAATGGTTTAAATCTAAATAAAAAACATAACCACACTAGAAAACAAAAAAGGATGCCATTAGCAGACAAGAGTTTTCACAAACTCTAGATCCATGATTCTCAAACATTAGCATGCATCAAAATCATCTATAGGGCTGGTTGAAACACAGATTCGAGCTAATATAACATTGTATGTTGAATACACTTTAATAAAAAATTGAATTAAATTAAATCAGGGAAATCCAAATCAAAACCTCAATGAGATATCACCTCACACCAGTCAGAATGGCTAAAATTAACAAGTCAGGAAATGACAGATGTTGGCGAGGATGTGAAGAAAGGGGAACCCTCCTACACTGTTGGTGAGAATTCAAGCTGGTGCAGCCACTCTGGAAAACAGTATGGAGGTTCTTCAAAAAGTTGAAAATAGAGCTACCATATGATCCAGCAATTGCACTACTGGGTATTTACCCCAAAGATACAAATGCAGGGATTCGAAAGGGTACGTGCACCCCTATGTTTATAGCAGCAATGGCCACAATAGCCAAACTGTGGAAAAAGCCAAGATGTCCATCAACAGAAGAATGGATAAAGAAGATGTGGTATATATACACAATGGAATATTATGCAGCCATCAAAACGAATGAAATCTTGCCATTTGCAACAATGTGGATGGAACTGGAGGATGTTAGGCTGAGTGAAATAAGTCAATCAGAGAAAGACATGTATCATATGACCTCACTGATATGAGGAATTCTTAATCTCAGGAAACAAACTGAGGGTTGCTGGAGTGGTGGGCGTGGGAGGCATGGGGCAGCTTGGTGATAGACATTGGGGAGCACATGTGCTATGGTGAGCGCTGTGAATTGTACAAGACTATTGAATCACAGATCTGTACCTCTGAAACAAATAATACATTATATGTTTAAAAAAAAAAGAAGCGGATGAAGAAGATAGCAGGAGGGGAAGAATGAAGGGGAGGAAATCGGAGGGGGAGATGAACCATGAGACGATGGACTCTGAAAAACAAACTGAGGGTTCTAAAGGGGAGGGGGGTGGGAGGATGGGTTAGCCTGGTGATGGGTATTAAAGAAGGCACGTTCTGCATGGAGCACTGGGTGTTATATGCAAATAATGAATATCATGGAACACTACATCAAAAACTAATGATGTAATGTATGCTGATTAACATAATAATAAAAAATAAAATAAAATAAATTAAATCAAATTAAAAATAGGTTGTATAAAAAACACACAGACTGCAGGATTCCACCCTCATGGATTCTGATTCATTAGGTTTAGGATGGGCTCAAGATTTTGTATGTCTAACAAGTTCCCAGATGATGATGATTCTGCTGGTCTGAGGACCACATTATAAGAACCACCATGCTAAGTAAACAGAGATCACTAAAAGGAACAATTTTTTTATAAATTTTAATTAGCATCCTCAGAGAGATTCAAACGAATGATACAGCCATTGTTTTTCCAGTATTTGTAAAATAACAAAGAGTTCTAGAAACCTGGAAAACATAGAATTCCTGAATTTAAAAATAAAAATCAAAGGGCTAAATAACAACTAAAACCCAACAAAGCAGTGTGGAAAACAGTCTAAGACATCTTCCAAAACATACAGCAAAAGACAAAGAGATGGAGATTATGAGAGACAAATCAACAAGCATAAAGGGTTAATAGCTATCTAATAGGTTTCTGGAGACAGAACAAACATACCACTTAAGTAATCAAGGAAGAAATTTCAAACCTTGATACCGCCTGGCTAATCTCCAACCAGGTAAAAAATTTTAAAGTCAACAATTGGACGCATATTTGTGACATTTCTAAACTTAAAAGACATAAAGAAAACTCTAAAAGCTTTGAGGGGAAAAACAGGTTATTACAAAGCAATATGAATCAGACTAGCATCAAACATTTCATTAGCATGAGAGAAGAAAAAGGAATGTTGTTTACAAGGTTCAGAGATGCAATTATTTTGAACCTGGAATTCTACATCTAGTCAAATCAAATACAAAGGCAAAATAAAGACATCTTTGGAAATTTAAGAACTAAGAAAACTGAATTCCCATCCATATTTATTTCCTACTTCTACTGTGAGAAGTTATCACAGAACTCCAAAATGGGTTTCAATGAGCTAAAATTAAGGTGTTGGCAGAATTACATATCTTTTGGAAGCTCTAAGGAAGAATCCATTTCCTTGCCTTCTCTACCTTCTAAACGCTGCCTGAATTCTTTGACCCCTTCCATTTTCATCATTATCATTAGATGTACTCAGTACTTAAAGATTTCTTAGTTCCTTAAAGAAATGCAAAGGACTACAGCTACACTATATAGCCCCTGACAGAATAAATGAAAAATATGCTCTTTATCATTTCCTTAAAAAACATTTTAATCAATTAATATTTTTATTAATAAACACCTACCGAATCATTCGCTGCTAGTGCAAGTGCAAGGTTCACTGTAAGAAACAAAAAAAGTAATCAAATTTAGTAACTTTCTTCTACTAAAATTCAGTTTGCCTTCTAATATTTTCAAGGTAATAACCAAAGCACAGAAATTTTTTAATGTATCTCCTTTACTTATAAAAAACAAAGACATGGAGAGAATACAGAAAGTAAAAAAGACAAAAAAGAGTAACATTCCAACATAAGCAATAGATGCCTGTCCTACAATTAACAGTTTAAACGATTCATTTTTATAACCTGCTATAATTTTGTTTAAATAATCTACTTAGTTTTTAAAAAACAATGTTACTGGTATATATAGTTCAATTATTTTCAAAAACATTTTGCCTAAAAAATATATACCTTTTAATAAATAAAAATATATATGATCCTATTGCCTTTTAAAAATAAATGCTGATAGGGCGCCTGGGTGGCTCAGTTGGTTAAGCGACTGCCTTCAGCTCAGGTCATGATCCTGGAGTCCCGGGATGGAGTCCCACATCGGGCTCCCTGCTCAGCAGGGAGTCTGCTTCTCCCTCCGACCCTCTTCCCTCTCGTGCTCTCTATCTCTCATTCTCTCTCTCAAATAAATAAAATCTTTAAAAAATAAATAAATAAAATAAATAAATGCTGATAATGCAGGAATTCCAAATACCTAACTCACAAATACCTGCGTATGAAAGGCTGGACCACTCTGCAGAGGAAAGGGAAGAGGGTCAAAGGTAAGGCAGTAAAACATGTTCCCAAAACTGCTATTGCTAGTGAATCCTTCTTTACAGAAGGAAAGTAGTCCCAAAACCACCTTGAGCCCAGCAATAGAGATATGCTACATCTGAGATGAAGAGAGGTCCAAAGGTAACAAATTTCCAAGACTGATAAGTAGACTTTCATACTGTGAATCACATTTATTTAATAGAACAATGTTATAAATGATGCTGAGATTATTTCCTTTAAAGTAGTTAAGAGCAGGGGCACCTGGGTGGCTCAGTCGTTAAGCATCTGCCTTTGGCTCAGGTCATGATCCCAGGGTCCTGGGATCGAGCCCCGCATCAGGCTCCCTGTTCAGCGGGAAGCCTGCCTCTCCCCATCCCACTGCCCCTGCTTCCGTTCCCTATCTCACTGTCTCTCTCTGTCAAATAAATAAACAAAATCTTTAAAAAAATAAATAAATAAAGTAGTTAAGAGCATAAATTTTCAAAGTAGACCTGGTTTCAAAGTAAATCCTAGTTCTACCACCTTCTATTATATAACCTTGAGTAAGATATTTTACCCTTAAATCTATTTTCCTCCTCTATAAAATGGGGATAATTCCTATTTCATAACTGTTGTGAGAATTAAATGAAATACTGATATAAAGTACTTAGCCTAGGACATGTCACTTGACAAATTAATTTTTATAAATTATCAAATAATTCTGAATTTCAGGTATATCATAGGTTAAACCATCTAACTATTAAGCAGAAACTTTTAAGAGACTACTTCATTTCAGTGTTAGGGTCTTCTCACATTTATACAATGGAATCACAGAGCATGTTTGTATTAACCATGTATCATCATTCTAACTGAAAAAAATTTCTAGCATACATATTCAAATGGGAAGAATTCTGAGATAGTTTGGAACATATATATAGTCCCAAACATGTATGTAATGTGTCTATATGTGTGTGTGTGTGTGTGTGTGTGTGTGTGTGTATGAAAGAAATATAATACCAACAGAGTCACACAGAAACAACTTATTTCTAAGACTTATGTATGCAAATAGAGCTGTCAGAAAGAAGTAAAGGCCAGTTCTTTGGGACAGATGGTTTAATGCTAACAAAAAAAGCAAGGAAGGGGCATTTACTGAAACACCTACTATGTGTCACAACTGCATATTTTGTCATAGATTTTCCTATTTAAATGCTGTCACATTCCATGACAATAGAAGACCGCTAACCAAATACAAAAACAATGTTTTAAACAAGTACTAGCCTACAGACCCAACAAATTATACAGCATAAAACTCGAAGAACTTAGGGATATCATCATGAAAATATTCTCCATCTTTAACCAGTCCAAGTAATCACAGAGCATGCAAAGGAATTTCCATTACTGAAAACAAATAAATGTACTCTGAATTTTCAAAAAACAAGAAGAGGTGGATTCTACAGACTAAAACCTTCTAAATTTTAAAAACAAAATATTAAGTAGATGGATTGTAGGCCCTTAGGAAAGAAAGTAAAAATGTGTAGCATATAGCATTAATTCATTAGGAATAATCACTAATCATTTTTTAATAATAATACAGTATCAAACAGTAATATTATAGGTCCATTAGAACTATAATACTTGGTAAATCTTATTTTCTTCAAAACATCTGAAAAACTCTTCCACAATTACCTTCGGGTCAAAATGAGAAAAAAAATTAAGCTAATAAATTATATAGCTGGATTTGTAGCTGGTTGTACAACCATAAAACTGCTATACTGGGAAATTATTAAAAATGGCTTTTTAAGTGAAGACACAAGACCTTTAGTCACAGAACTCTGTACTATGCCTTCTTGTTTCAAAATGTCATTGATTTCAATGGAACTGAAGAATTTTAAGGTACATATATCCCCCAACTTTAGGTTAACAGTCTGGGGAAAAAACTGTAATTTAAAAGATCTTGTCAATCTAGAACTACATGAAAATCGACAAATAAAATACAATCGTCATTTTTTAAAAATCTCCTGCAGAAAAGATAGACTAGATAAGACCTGAATTAGCAGCCGTTCCTATTGAAATGACTGAAAATTAAATACAAGGCAATAACAAGATAAGAGTGTTTTATGACTCCAGGAGCGCCTGGGTGGTGCAGTCAGTTAAGAGACGGGCTCTTGATTTGGGATCAGGTTGTAATCTCAGGGTTGTGAGGTTGAGCCCTGAGTCGGGCTCTGCACTTAGTGAAGAGTCGCTTGCGATTCTCTCCTTTCAGTCTGCCCCTGCTGCTCATGCTCTCTTTCTCTAAAATAAATATATCTTTTAAAAAAAAAGGGGGGGTGTTTTATGACTCCAAATTAATAATATAAGCTACTTCCGTTGTGCAGGATTGGAAGAAGGGAAGTCATTACCCTTTTACATTATTAACCTGTAATAAGAAATTTCTGTGGTTCCTGGGTAGCTCAGTTGGTTAGGCTCTTGATTTTGGCTTGGGTCCTGACCTCAGGGCCCTAGGATAGAGTGTGGCATCAGGCTCCATGCTCAGCAGGGAATCTGCTTGAGGATAATCTCTCTCCTTCTCCCTCTGCCCCTCTCTTTCTCTCTCTCTCTCTCTCTCTCTCTCTCTCTCACAAATAAATAAATAAATCTTTAAAAAATTTTGAAAATTTCTTTTGAAAAATTGGGGGACTATCTGGTTATTAGTCTTGGATGGTAACTCTTTTATATCTGGTGGTATGTCTCCTATGAATCTGAAAGCAGCATTTCAGTCACAATGAAATCTACAATCAATTAAAAAGAGCCACCAAAAAATTCTCTGCTCCAGTATTATTATTATAAAAGATATAAAGATTAGATGATATTTTAAACAATTAAAACAATGTTAAACCTTCACAAATTTTCAAATATTTGATCAACGCTGATTTTATGAATGTTGAAAATTATATTATGGTTAAATGAAAAAAGGCCACAATAACATAAAAAGTCTCCTTGCAACTGTGTAGCTATATGTACATTGACAGACTGGGAAAGAATATCAAAGAACAAGTAATTTAGTGTTAAAGTTACTAAACGTTTAAGAAATAATAACAGCAACCAAATATTGAGCACTTACTATGTAGGAGACACTGGGCTAAGTGGTTAGCTTATTTAATTTACATGGCCACCCTATGAAAAAGGTTATCGTCATTGCCATTTTACAGTTAAGTAAACTGAAGATCTGATGGGCAATCTGATGGGGAATCTGACCTCCTTTTCCTCAGTTAAGGAGTCAAAGACCTGGCTATATACTTAGTTTTTTCAAACTGCTAATCTAAGTTCCTAATCACTACCAACTCCTGACACTACGGAATTTTACAAATAACTCTTTAAAAATCGAAACTATAATTTTAATGCTGTGCACTTGCCAGTTGGCATAAATTCCTAATTGAGATCAGAATATCTTATAATACCTGCTGTAGTAGACTTTCCAACTCCACCTTTTCCAGAAGCCACAACTATAACTTGCTTTACACCTTCTATTGGTTTCTGCTTTGGAAGTCCTCGGGACATGATTTGTGCTCTTCTTTGTTTTAGGGTCTCACTGTCAGCACCAGATAACTTAAAAAAAAAAAAAAAAAGTCTTAAAATAAGCCATCTCCATTATCATTCTGTTAAAGTAAAAATTCGGAGTTTGTAATAGGGCTTTCTTTTCTAGGTTAATTCTGCTGATCTCCATTTGTTAGGTCCTTTGTACCATCTACCTACTGCTATTGATCACAATCGTGGAAATACACTGTTTAAGCTGAAATTTATCTGCCAGGATACGCAGACGTTAAAAATGTAAAGTAAATAAACTGATTCTTTATGGAGTTAAATCCTCCACGTGTTTCCTTCTTTTTAACCTATTTTCTAAATAAACTAAAAGAGAAAACAATGCACAAGTCACACATCCATGTTCTAGACATCTGTTTCATTTCCCGCCACGCCTCGGCCTGGTCCTTCTGGGGGCCTGCTTGGAAAGTGGGGACGTCCAGCCAACTGGGGTCTCACTTTGCCGCCGAGTAGGCGGAGGCCCGTTAAGGTCTGAGGCGAGTCCACAGCAAGAGGTTATGCCGGGGCCCCTGCGGCCCTGCCGCCCCAGCATCTCCGTCCCTTCCGCCTCCCCCTGTCCAGCAGCACCACGAACCTGGCGCCGACAAACCAACACTCGGCTTCCCGCAAGCGGTACACTGGCCCCGCCACCACCCCGAAGCGATACCCCGCCAAAAATCAACAAACGCTGCCAACACCCCATAGCTCGGAACACTGCTTTAAGCCCAGCCCGGAAACCGTCGCGGCCGTCGTAGGGTGATGACATCACGTAGTAACGCTCAGCTTCCTCTCCCTAGAGACGAGCCGCCTTTGAGTTTCTTCAGCCCGGCAACCCAATTTGTTAATGCAGTCCGGTTCGTAGCCAGGTACAAATATTTTACAGAGTTTAATCAAATATTTGTGAAGCGTTTTTCACATACCTCATCCGTTTGGCCCTGACAGAAATCCTCGGGTAGGTAGATACGAGACTCTTACTAGTATCCTCTTTTCAGTAGTAAGAAATGAGACTTAAAGTTTAGAGACTTGACTGAAAAGAAGTAGGAAATGGTAGAATTTGGGAAAATGACTCCAGGTTCTCAACTGCGCAGAATATGGTAACTTAAACATTCCCACTGTTAAGAATTTTGCCTTACCCCCACCCTGCCCGCGTGATCTACAATAATAGTGTATAATATATATATACATAATCAGAAATAGCTAAATCAGAAAGCAGGTCTAATTAAGGAAGTTTTGCTCAAGAAGAAAGTTAAGTGAGACAAAGCTTGAGGGAGAAGGTGGAATTGATTTTGGTATGAGGAATGAAGTATTCCTACCTCCAAAGCAGATGAGAGCAAAGGAAGTAGCTGTACAAGAGAAAGCTAGAAAGCTGATACAGAAACCCAGACCCAGCAAAAGGATCAGTTAGGGTATAGGTTGACTTGCTCTCACATATTCTCCATAATATTTTCTAAGGTTGATTTTAATTTCTTTTATTTGCTTCTTATCTGTAGAAAATTTGTTGTATAATCATTCAGTTTGTTTTGCTCTACTCTGTTCTTTAATTTTCTTGTCTTTACTACAGGCATAACATTTCAATCTCAAATAGTTATTGTAAGGGTTAGATTTTTCCAACAAGTACATTTAATTAAATAAGCTCTGAAAAAAATTCAGTTCCTTGCTTTTTCTCCCCCAATCTCACATTATTGCTTCCTTTGGCTTATCACTTTCTTGTTTTGCAATATGTTTTCTCAGTTAATTTTATCAATTTTTATCTCCTCAATTTTTATAAATTATAAACCAAAACAATAGGTATAAGGAGAATGACTATCAGAATAATCCATTCACTAAACAAGAAATGCTGAATATCTGTTTCTGTCCAGGTAGCTTTTCAAGTTCTTCTAGACTTATAAAGATATTTACTGAGCAACTACTATGCACCAAGTACTACCCTAATCATAGGGTTGTCAACCCTGGACCAGATATAATCCCTCCATTCAAGAACTTTACCAACCAGTGTGAGAGACAGAATAAGTTAACTGACAGTTCAGCATGGTGTGATACGCATAGGAAAAAAGCACTGAGAGATACAGAATTACAAAGAAGGGGCACCCACATCATTAAGGGAATCAGGGAAGGCTTCTGGATAGGCTAACATCTAAGTTGAATCCTTAATGTGGGTAATGTGTAGGCATCAGCTGTGAGAAGAGCTAGAGGGTTGTGCAGAGGTAAGAAATGAACTGGTAAGAACTTCAAATGATCTTCAAGTCTTGCAAATAGAGTGTAAGCAGGATGGTGCAGAGATGAGGATGGAAGTTGGCAAAGATGAAGGGTGCATAGATCAAAAAAGACTTAATATATCATTTAAAGGAATTTGGACTTTACCCTAAGGGAACCACAGAAGGGTTTAAAGTGAGAAAATAACATAATTAGATTTGTGTTTTAGAAATACTACTGATTACCAGGTAAAAAAAATGGTTGGGAGAGGTGTGACCAGAGTTAGGGAGATAGGAGGTTATTGTAGTAATTAATCCAAGAGAAATGTTTGCTTATAAAATAGATAATACCTACCTATAGGGTTGTTGCAAGGTTAAATTTAAAATAATGCATGTAGAAAATAAATAAATAATAAATATTAAAATAAAATAATTCATGTAGAATACCTATCACAAAGTACACATATTCAATAAATGTTAGCTATTGTGATGCTTATTGGTTATGTAGAGGTTTATGACATGGGCAACTAGATAAATGGCACTGACATTCTCTGAGAGATAACGTAAAGGGAGGAACAAGTAATATTTTTGTTTGTAGAATGAACAAATCATTAACTTGATTTACCCTTTCAGCAGATAGGATATCAGGAGAATCGTAGAGATGTCCATTATTTCTTCTCCAGCAACCACTGCCACAAACACACACACACACACACACACACACACACACCCATGGCTCCTTCTTAAAAGAATATTCTCCCTTTGCTCCTAAGAATTTCTAAGCCATTTGACCCCATCCCATGGTCACTAATTGGGTTAAAGACTGACACACAAACAAAGTTGGACCAATTAGATTCTTTCTATATAAAACTTTAAAATAAGAGATGTTACTCAATCTTAGTTTGCATTGGAACTGGTAAGGCTGAAGGGACTAATTTCTTCTTTGTGCACAGAGAAGCAGAAAAAGCTAATGCCAACAGAGAAGAATAAAGTAGACCATAAGAGATCATGTGTGCAGAGAGGGAGTGCACTGATTCATAATAGCTTTCCCATTCCTGATTCTAGTCCATAGTGAGGTTCAAGCTATACTTCCTATTCCTAGATCCATGAGATATACCTACAGCCATCCAATAAATTCTCTTTCTGCCTTGGCCTAATTTGGATGTGTTTCTATGTACTTATAACTATGGTAAGATATGTTTCATAATATTTATCAAGACTTCCCCCTATAACTCCTTGTACCTTATATAGCCCTTTCCCATTTTGATAAACTATGTGGCATCATTTTATGATACATAAAAATATTAGAGAAAAGAAATTATTTTCTTGGTTTTCAATTTTGAAAATTGGGACCTTTAAGGAGAATGGGGAAAGCTCTGGCAAAGACAATACCTTTGGGAGAACAACATGATACAAAAACATGATTTCTTACTTATATAAGTTAGGATTACATTGGCTGCAAGTAGCAGAAAACTCTATCATTGTCTTAAATAAGTAGGGATGTATTAGTCTCATGTGAAAATTTCATTAGTAGACTGTTCAGATCTGATACAGTGGCTCCACTGTGTTATTATGTACCAAATTCATTCTTTTGGTTCCATCATCTTGTTGTCCTTATTTTGTCCTCAAGATGGTGGCTGCACCTCCAGGCATCAAGGCTATGTTCCACACAGGAAAAGAGGAGAATGACAAAGATAAAAATGTTTCTCTAGTATGTTTGCCCTTTTGGCGGCGTGTGGGGGGAGGGAAGCCACATACACACCAGACTGGCTAGAACCAGGTCACATGACCCCCCTAAAAGCAAGAGAAGCTGAGAAATCAAGCATTTACATATCTTTAACCTATAGATTAGAGGAAAGCAATGGGAAAAAAAAGATTGGAAATCGATATTGACTAAGCCAACTCAATATCTGTCCTAGAAAGACTATATAAAATTTTGTGGGATTATGGGGAATCAAGACAGTTAGAAGCAGGGGCACCTGGGTGGCTCAGATGGTTGGGCGTCTGCCTTCGGCTCGGGTCGTGATCCCAGGGTCCTAGGATCGAGTCCCGCATCCAGCTCCCTATTCCTTGGGAGCCTGCTTCTCCCTCTGCTTCTCTCTCTCTCCCTCTGTCTCTCATGAATAAATAAAATCTTTAAAAAAAAAAAAAGACAGGAGCAAAGTGAGAACTTAGATATTCACAAGTTCTTAAGCCAGATATTGGTAGTTGGATAGCCCAAGAACATTCTCAACCCCCAATTTCCTTGCACCATACAACTATAAATGATAGAAATCCAAATACTTGCTAATCTAGACATAGTTTCACTTGCTAATTCTAGACATAGTTCTTGGCATGTACGGTATAGTTCTGGACAATGTGGTGTAAGGGAAATTTTCTGGGGGGGCTTCTGAGAAAGCTTTTGCTATAAAATAGAATATAACTGATGCTACTCCTTTTTCCCATCTTAACCATGGATATGACTGACACCTGGATGTGTGGCCGTCATCTGGTGAACATGAGAATCACAACGGTGACAGATACAATGACAGCCAACAGCTAAGGGTAATGAAGTGGAAATATGTCAGGAAGATGAATTCTTGTTCATATAGTTAACCTATTGCGCCAGTACTGAACTGCATCTCCAGAGCTCTTGTTGTGTGAGATAATTAATTGTTTTAACCACTGTTGGTTGGGATTTTTGTTATTTGAAGTTAAAATTATCAGTACCTATTACAGATTCGAAGAAAGAACCTGATACACTGTGACTACCTCTCTCTTACTGAATCTCAGTAAAGAGGGGGACATCAGAGCCCCAAATCAGTGTAAGGGATGTAAGAACAACAGAATCAATGCCCCTATTACCAGTGTAGTGGCAGGACCATAGAATAAAAACAGTTAAGTGTTGTGTGTGGACAGACAGTCTGAGAGAGCTCCTGCAAGAGTGGTTGAGAGAAAGTTGGTCTTTAAGAGAACTTAAGGTCAAGAATAAGGGAAGACTTGGCAACAATCTGCATGGTTAAGTATGTGGCATCTCAATCAATGCTGGTATAAATAGATAAAGACCTTGAGGATTAAAGGTCACATCACTATGTGGCCATCTGGACACTACATAGGCTCAGTCCTGGTTTCTACCACCCCAAGAGCAATGAATAAATAAGTACTGTTCAAAACAGACAGGATTCTTTTGAATGTCTCCTAACTATGAATAGGGTAATACTTTGTATTATTTTCTAGAAAGCATGTATTTGTGTCTGCTAGATTCCCTCCCTCCACCCCCAAAAAAGATCCTCAGGTGACCACGGACAATCTGAAAATTCAGATTCCCACACAGAAGCAGTGCCTGCCTCATCCGCTGTCCATAAGCCTCACTTATCAGCTGAGAACATGCTTCATTCCTTTGCTCAACTCACTAAGGAAAAAGAGAGTGTTATGAACAGTTTTCTGTCTCTTAAATATACTAACTAAAGCTTAGAAACTAGTACCAATTCCTTCAGTTTAAGGTTCTTGTCTTCAACTGAACCTTTTATCCTGCGCAAAGGG